TTCTTAAAAGCCAAGGAGGACTTCTGGAATTTATCTGAAATTTATACAACTAAATGAAGTGTTACTACTTTCCCCATTTTTAGAGAAATCATATGAAATTCAGGAGTATTAAAGTGACATTTAATTAGTCATAATATTGTTTTTGCCACTCTGTAACTTACCTCAGATTTGATTTTTAAATATGCCTCAACAGAATTTCAAGTGTGTGTGTTTTTTACAGTTTTATACTTCAGAGGAACAAATGAGAATTTTAGTACATTTTAATATATTTCCCCAGTGTGACTCCTTTCTTCCCTATATCACACCTACTGTCTGTAAATAAAGTGTAGTTTCTAAAGCAGCCAATGAGTAGCCAAGCATGCTAATGAGGACATCTTTAAATAGTGTTGATCTGCTGAGCTACAGTTCTGTGTCTGTCAGACAGCTGATGGAACACTGGGACCCTTTGCAAAAGCTCTGAGAACACATTTACAAAAATACCAAAACTACATTAGGGAGAACTTTAGGGCAATTTATTTTGACTACTGGAAGGGAAACAATGATACACATAGGGACCCAGGTGGTTAATGTACTGTACATTATTACTATAAAGTACAAGACCTTAGTCTCTTAGCTGATCAGAAACCACAAATTCTGTTGATTACATAGCACCCTACAGAATAAGCTTGAGGAGTAAAGGAGCAAACATTGCAACTATGCTTTTCAAAGTTTGCCAGTTCACGTGGTTTTACACTGTTTCCAACTGGACAGTTTTATAGAATAGAAATGATTTACACCATTTACAATGATTTCTATCCTGCAAGAAGTTCTAAGTCTACCTCAGATGCAAGAAGAATGGCATGGGTCTTTGTGTGTGTGTGTGTGTGTGTGTGTGTGTGTGTGCATGTGTGTGTGTGCGTTTTGCAGTAAAAAAATTAAACTAATCCTAGTCCAACTATAATAGTACAGCAAATTTTCTTAGTTCACGTATGATAAAACTTAAACCAAAAACTCCATATGAGTACAGCTTTCTTGATATTTGAGAAAATTTAACTTGAAGACAAATATCATGATTTCTTAGTTATGCAGTTGCTCTCTCATTTGAATAAGGGCCTGAAGGAAACATTGAAATTTCAACAATGTTCAAGACATGGTACTGGTTTTCATCTTTAGATTGGCCTAATTGTACCAAATGATTTGTTTGGCTTAGACTCCCTGTCATATTCAATACTTACACATCCTTGTAGATTAAAACATTTACTTGCTGCAAAGAGTGGAGGAGAACCATTTACAGTGCTATCAAAGTTTGACAGAAGCACTACCAATACTTAATGTTGATTTTAATGCCTTTTAGTAAGTTGCTTATTTTGGAAGAAATTAATCACTCTTTTAAGTGAAAGTTAGGAACAAATATCTGATCCCAGAAAATTTTGTACCATATGGAAATAATTTGGTGAATTATTTATGCTATTTACAAGCTATGCTTCTCCATCTATTAACAATAAAAAAAAGCAGGAATGGATTGTGTTGCTTGTAGGTAGTTGTTCCTGCTAGAAAGCCAGAATGAAGTATACACTTCCATTTCTCTGCTTACTTAAAGATTTTGTGAGTCATGACACAGCTCATATATATTTTTACCTATTTATCATGCTTGAAAATCCTCTGATATTTGCCAAAATGGAACTTGTTAATGAGCAGTTCATGTCTGGACCTTGGTTTCTAGGGAGATCAAATAAATAAGAAATAATAAAAATAAAATAAATCCATAGATTTGGAATGAGGAAGTTAGACCTAACTTTATACCTGCTACTTAGTAATTTGGCCCTATTGCCTTATAAACAGTTCTTTGATCTCATCTCCAGCGCAAAAACTAATGTTCAATATCTAAAACACCTGTGTACCTATTGATTGAAATGTTTTTATTTTTCCAAAACTCTTCTTTGAAAATAAACTTCTACATACAAGATTATATAAACAACTTCCTTGATACAAAATTCTATTACAATTACTAACTCATTACTGTTTTTTAAGGCATTTGCTAAAGTACTTTTATTTTCTTTTGAAGTCAGTGTACCTCATCACTAAAAGCTAAATATTAATTTAATTTTCCAACTCATCATGGAAAGCAATAAATTATATGAGGTAAGAATAAAAAGGAATGATAAAAGCAGGATGTTTATTTATCCAAGCTATTGACAATCAAACTATAAACTGAAAACATGCTCTGATCAATTATCTTCAAAAAATCTTTAACTGTGAATTTTAGTTTTTTTTAAAAAAACTCACAATATGACCAGTATATCCACTGAAACATTAAATTTCAAATAATACTTAGGAATCTACCTACCCTTCCTGTATACTTTGCTGCTTTAGATTCTTGTTAATTTATAAAACCCATATCTAGATTCACTAAATTAGTTTTTTTAGCATATTAATGAGTTGTGATTCTTCATAAGAAAATTGCTTTACTCTAGATCTTTAAAAATGTGAGACACTTTTTATTCTAATAAATAGAGGTGCTAACAACATAATTTTCAGGTAAAAATAAATTTATGTCAAAATTGCCTTCATCACATTAATGAGGATATCAGTAAAGAAGCACTGGAGCTAATGTGAGAGACTTGTATAGTACGTGGAAGAATGACTTCTGAAAATAAGGCTGCCAAATTATACTTAATACTGGTTAACTCCCAAGAGTAAAAGTAAGTGACAAAATCTCTCATGTCCAACTACTATATAATATTATGAACTAAAGCAATTTAATTTCTGCAGATTCACTATAGAAGAAAATCAGACAGAGTCCACTTGAGCCATTGGCAATGTACAATTTATTCTAATAAATAAGTTTTATGAATCATTGCTGGAGTTATTAATTAATGCAAAGTCTAAGATGAGTCCATAGTAGCACAGAGACAGCTTTAGCAAGTAGCTAACCCTCCTATATGTAGTCCTAGAAATGAAAAAGGAACTTTCTGGAATGACTGAAAAGTTTGGCAGAATGGCTTTGCGAAGAAAAACCTCATAGTTCTGTGTGTTAATGCTGGAGTCTGGTGGAGAAAAGGCAGGTACTATGGTACCAAATGTTCCATTTGCTATGAATGTTGGAAAGACTACATCACTTGTTGCTGTGGGGAACAACTGGTAACAAGAAATGAAAAATTGTTGGAGTGAAATCTTGCAGCAGGAAGAAATAGAGAGAAGCACTTAATGGAAATGATTCTCTCTCCCTCCTCTAAGCTTTGGTATTTTCCTCCATTGACAAAGTCTAACAGGGAGGTGCATGTAAAACAGAAATGCAGTTCTCAGAGTTCCTGCCCCGGTATTACAAAGCCGACATCAAAAAGTAGAATTGGAGCTGAGAGACAATAGTTGAAAAACTGCCACAATTTCTAACTTTACAGAGCAAAGAAACCTTTGCAATTTTATTACCTGTAAATTCTGAACTTTCTATAAAGTTATGACAAATGTTCTAACACAAAATTGAGGATTAAGGAAAATAGAGACAAACAGAGTTAGATATTACATGGCTTCTCTGATAAGAGAAACCTAAAATACAAATAAATGACTGAATGAAAATAAAGGAAATGTGGCAGGAAACAAGAAAACAGACTTGGAGATGGGTAAGGAGATGAGCGGTACAACACAAGTAAAAGAGAGGAGAGCAGAGACTGAAAATAATCAAAGTATGTTATTACCACGTACCAACTGCCAAAATGACCACCACTGCTCTGTATTGCAAACAAACACATATATGCACACACAAGACAAAACATCCAGAAAAGCACCTTTGCTCAAAGATTGACACATACTGCTTGGTCAGTGTGCAATCATTCTAATCAGATCCCACTCCCATGCCTCCCTTTTCAGTCATGTCTGCCTTCCTTGGTAGCCACATCTACTACTTGGAAGCCGATCACCCCAATCTTCCAACATAGGGCTGGTTTTGCTTTCAATGAGCATCGCAGACTTGTCAAATCTCATGAAGGCCATTCTGAAGGGTTAGAGTTTGATATCAGCTCTTGTAATTTTTCCAGACTTAGAAAAATGTGAGTCTGAGAAAAAGAGCTAATTTTAACATGAATTATTCCAGAATTGGAGTGAAAAAGTAAGGGTGAGGAAAAAGAAAATCCAAAGCTTCTTTGTGCATGTAGGCATGAGCTCATGCTAGGCACTGACATTTTGTTTTAAAGTAATTGAACAGATCATGAAACTTGCCAGCAAAACAGAAAATAAACCAGAAAAGCTATGAAGCATCATCATGTTACTTTTTCTAATTTTAAGATACATTTTCTTTATCAAGAATTTGTGGTTTAATAAAACACAGCCAAAAAATCAAAAGCACTATAATATTTTCACCTTTTGCTATTAAAAGAAATTCTATAGACAAACATTTGGGTAATTATACGAACAGTGGACACACATTAGGCTTGTTCTCTCAAAAAGAAATAACATTATGAATATAAAGATATGACATCTCCCACAATTATGAAGTTTTTATATTTGTAAATGATGTATTGTTAGAAATAATCTACAGGATTCTTTCTTAAATTTTAAACAAAAGCTGTATGTGCCCATGTTAAAGATTTGGATTGTGTGAAAAGTATAAATGCAAAGTAAAACATGTCTATAACATGTACATGGATGAAATATGCTTTTGCAAAATGGGTCATGCTCCCCATTCTCTTGCACCTAATCTTTTACCACTTGACATATCTTCCCATATCAGAACAGATCCCACCTTTTTCCTTCCGTGTTCATGGACTTTTAGGTTGTTGCTAACTTTCTGTTACAGTGATGACGATGTCTAACACGGTAGATGATAGAGCACTGAAATACTCTTGTGCAGACAGTCTATATAATTATGTTGAAGGAAAATAAATAACAGCAATTGGTATTTTGTCCATGTTTATTAGTACTTGGAACAACATGGGGAACAAAAGGATAACTTGACCATTGCTACCTGAATTTTCCAAAGCATTGTTTAAAATTAATCAATCACTCTTTGTGTTTCTCTTATCCAGGTGCCACACCACGTGAAGCCCTTGCCCTATTACAGCTATGACCAGCCCGTGCTCGGGTACTGCCAGGCTCACCAGCCCCTGCACATCAACAAGGGCTACGACACAGTTTGTCCGGAGCAGGACGAGAGCCCCAGCCTGGAGCTCGGCAGGGACCACAGCCTCATCGCCACCATCGCCAGGTCGGCAGCACCGACCATCTACCTGGAGAGGATAACAAACTAAGGCGGAAGCCAGCTCCTCAGGGGGACCTCGCGGGGGGAGGGAGGGCTTTCATCCTAAAGGAGAATGGGTGTCCAACAATCGCGTGATCCAGCCAACTCATCGTTCCTGTTAAACAAGTTCCGGCATAGAGAAAAGACAAAAACCAAAACTGCTTAAAGAGGGCAGCGGATGCTCCTGCAGCATTAACCGGGAAAACTACAGAACTTTCTGGGCTTTAAACTATAAAACAAAGAAAAAAAAAAAAGCTCCCGGATGTAAATAGTCAAGAGTGTCAAGTTCTTATAAAAATAGATTTCACCCTAGCTATCCATAGGTTTGTTTGTACATTTGATTTTTCTACACTGCATGGTTCCTGGGCTGGAGAACCACAGGGGCAGTACACCGGGGTGGGTGGGAAGGAGGGGGAAATAACAGTTTTCTTTGGCAGCTGTGTGCAACGCTCACAGACTTGATTTCCATTGGTTTCGTTTTTCTTTCCTCCTTAAAATTGTTGTTGGTTCTCGTTTGGTTTATTTTATTTTATTTTTATTTCCTGGTCTAGTGATTCTGTTCTCAGTTCTAAACATTGGTATTCAAGCTTCCGTTGTACCAAAAGAAAATTTGCTTTACCACAGACCACAAATAAGGAAAGATGGCCGCAGAGTTTGATAAAACTACTGGAATAAAAGTTCAATAAATCTAGGTGAATGTTGCTTGAAGACACATGTTGTACATGATATCGGGAATTTTGTTTTGTTTTGTTTTCCCCCCCCACGCGCAGCCCTCATCAAGGAAGTTGGGAAGAGAGCCTGAAGACCTTGGATGGAGAAAAGAAGCAGAATTATGGGAATAATTCTGGACTAAGGAGATATAAGAAAACTGGCCATGCAGGTGGTGAAAGAAACTGCTGACACATTTCTAAATAGGAGATAATGTGTAACATTGCTTTTTAAATTAATTATCAATTAGCTTTTGTGTAGTTTTTATCAATAAAAGAAAAAATGTTGAAAAATAAATACATTATTTTGTGGTTGGTACACCACAGCCCACCTAATAGAGTATTTCATGTGTGTGTATCGTCTCTGTATCAGGGCAAATCAATAAGAATCAAGTGCCTTCTGCAGGTTCTATAGTTAGGTAGGGAGGCCTTAAAATATCTGAAAAGCAAGATGGGATGTGGCTTATTCACTAATGTTTTTCAAATTCTTTTTTTATAGAAATATGACCTAATGATATCATGCAACACAAGAAAACGATAATATTCGTAGCAGGATGATAGTTTGTATAGTCCTACGGGAGAGAAAGAACTGTGTGGAAATGTATTACTATCTGGAAAGAAGCACAATTTCTCACTCATTTCTCCAGATCACGTCTCAGTTCAGCCTCTTATCACTTGATTTCCTTTGTGCTGTAATGCTATATCTCAGCAATTCTCTGATTCAGTATGGGCAGTTCCCTGACATAGACACTGGTCTGATTTGCCTAGTTTTATTTTTAACACAAAATTAAAGTACGTAATGTATGTCATCATCTGTTAGAGCAAGTTTTACATTCTGAAGGGTACCCTTGGGGTACTACTGGATGTTCTTAAGAACTAAAATGATAATTAACATCCATTTCACTCCAATTTCTGTGAAAATGATAATGGTAAAAGAGAATTGCAAATATCATCATATGAAAGTAAACTAGCAAAAATTATTGAATATATGTTTTGTTCTCAAAGCATTTTTATTACTTTTGAAAATTAGACTTGAAGTTCCATCTCTATGTTGAAGATTTTTTTAAAAATCTGATTGCGTATGAAAGGCAAATTAAAGCAGGAGATTTTTTTTCACATTGGAAATGGTCACTGCTTTCACGTTCTGATAATTTTCCCATTCATACTGCTGATCTAGGTTTCCTGTGCTGTAGTCATGCCAGTGATAATAGTTTAGATGCTTTTTAATGTTGTGATTTTTATTTTTGTAATTTGTTCAGTAGTGTTGAAGTGTGTATTATCAAATTAGAGAAGATTTTTGGGGAGTCTTTCCAAATTGTAATTATGCTCCTAACTCTTCCTATCCCGTTCATCCATACCTCTTTGACCACACATTTCATCCTTACTAAAGGTGATTTAACAGAAGTCATATCCAAAATATCTTGATCCACATTGGTTTAACTCAGCTCCAGTTAATTGCTGCTTCTTTCAACCAAAAACACCCTAAATAGATCAACATTCCCCCAGTTATTTAAATCCTCCATGTTTGGTTAATGTTTGCCCAAATGTGAAATAGTAAAGTGAACTGCTAACAAAACAGATAACGTGTGAATATGAAAATATTCAAAGAGCTTCTCAAAAAATTACTTCCTTATACCAGAACAAGTTTAGTCTTCTTTGGAAATATATTGATTTAATCATTAAAAAAAAAGAAAACCCCAAAAACAATGTTACTTGAGCAAGCCTGGCAAAGTTCTTATTTGAAAATATCAGTGTTGATATTATATCAGTCACCAAGTAGGTTTTCAGGGGAAAATACCATTTTAAAGAGAAAGTGATATTTCAGTGAAGGACTAGAGAACCTATTATTGATCTTTTAAGCCCAAAAGTTTATCATTTTTATGCAGAAACCTGATATAAGCACACAGGATACAAGGCTTCTTTTGGTTAATTTTCAGATTAAATTGTTGTTTGGGTCTTTGAATAATAGGCCGTATACTTGTCTGTGAAACTCATTTTTATTGCATTTCTGGTCCTTTCATGTGGTATCAAACTGTACAAATTAATTTCTCCAGGGTCTCTCACAAATTTACAATTTCAAATTGTGCTTCTAGCAAATATAAAGATTTTTCACTGTCTTGTAAAAGTCAGGAGTTATATGGATTATAATTATTGTTCATGTTGAAATGTTAAAGAGCCCTCTCAAAGAAAGTTATGTTTCATTTCAAGACTCTCCTAATTAGAAGTTTGATTTTATACTATAATGTTTATTGAACCTCTGAAGGCAATGCAGGTTCTAATTTCAAAGTTGAGGAGTCTCATGGAGTATTTATAGAGCCAGGGCATTAAAACCATGCCTAAAAGCAATTATGAATGTGACACAATACAGATTGGAACAGTCAACTATTCAAACATTCTGATTAACTCCTTTCATAAATATTCTTAGCAATGCTGAGTTTGCTTTTACTTATTGCAAGAAGCAATAAGTACATATCTTAGGTCAGAGAATTGATTGACACGAGTAGAGAAGCAAATGCAGTTTAAGTTTTCACCCTGTTGTATCTCCACTCACAGTATTTTATGAATGATCTCCTGTGATGGAGAATATAAACAATGAGAACCATCTCTTTCAGGATGCCCAAAACCCAAGTACATTGTAAAGTAAATAGTAGTTGAAGTTATAATATTTCAAAACAGTTTTAGTCAATAATGAAACAGTATGAGTGGAAGGAGGGCTGCGGGAAGATACCCCTCCTGCTTGACCTTGGGCTGTCCTTCATCCTTGACTGAGTGCAGGTATGGCAGATCTGCACGACAAGTGCAGCCTGAAACTGGAAAAGGGAAGAAAATGTAGGACTCCAGTTTGAAACCTGTGCATTTCATGAAGAATCCATACATTTTAATGAAAGTTGGAGATTTTGGTTGATAGGTAGCTTAGTATTAATAGTGTAATAATACCACCCAAAAAACAAGCATAGAAGTGTACCAAAGGATGTTGTTTTCAAATCAAAGCTTACCTAGTCAAACTACAATTAGAATTTAATGTTGATGTCATACTTCCAAGAAGGCAACTATCAGCACAATAACCAAAAGATAGAAAGATATGCAATCTATTGTACATGTCCCTGCTTACTGAAAAACTGTAAGCAAGGTCATTAAGGTGAAGTGATTAGAGAAATACACATAGTGAAACACTGGAGAGAAATAAACAGCAACAAACTCACCCTCCTCTGTAAACCCATCATATCTGAGCAAGGTTGCTAATTTGTTGTTTAACTGAGCAGTTAAGATTCTTATGCCATTAGCTTGTCTGTGCCTTTGTCTAACTCCTCACCTCTGCATCTATTTAGTTTCGGTAGCCACAAGCTTGCTTACAAAAGCACATTGCGCATATTCCATGTTACATAACCTTTAATTCAGAAGAGTGCAACTTCAGACTCTTAAATTACCTATCACTGAAGCTAGCCAAGTGCTCATCTGCTGTGACATTCTCCTGGCATTGTTCCTATAACACAGTTTTCTGTCTTTTATTTTGTTCTCTGGAATTTTGAGTGCTCCCTATATTGATACATTTCTATGATCCTGGTTCTTCTAGGGCTGAATACTGTTTTTCCCTTGCCTACATTAACTAGCAATTAAATTCTGCTTTAAATTTCAGTCATTTGTTAGCAAATCTGCTCTGAGTACTCTCATTGATTTCTAGGTCTCAAATATCTAGTGTCTTTCCTGGGCCAGTTTTTGATTCGTTTGGGAAAGTGCTCTATTCTCTGCATATGTTGCCTTGCTAGCTAGTTAATCTCCTTCAGTACCCTTTTGTTGAACTTGACTACTTCACAGGTAAAAATCTCTTCTTAAGAAATTGAGATCTGAGTTTCCATTCTGATCTTAATATGTAAAAGTAATGGTTATCAAATGTTAACACGTGTTGTAGTTACTTGAAAGGTCTTTTTAAAGGCAAATTGAAGTGTCCCATCATGACAGGACTGATTCACTGGTTCTAGATGAGATTTGAAAATGTCTTGTTCTAATAAATCCCCACCTGAGGCTACTGGTACATATACCACATCTAAAGAATGAATGTCATAAAGCATAGACATTTACATCTATTTAGAATGAGGACAGTTTGAAAATTCAATATTTGCATGTGATATTAATTTACTGTTTAACACTAAATGAACCACTAAAATAAAAATTCATCAGCAATAATAACAATATACAATTATACAACATGAACTGTCCATACATTTTTAAAGAGTATTTCTAAAATAGTGTGTTACACTAACAAATCACATTCACTATGAAATCAAAGAAACAAAATACTAAGAGCAAATTTAACATTTAAAAATATTAGACATATTGCCATAAAAAATTCAAATTTATCCATGCATGAATATTTTGTGTTCAACCACTGATGGATTTTTTTTTTTTTTTTTTGGTTTTTCTCCGGTACCGGGAACTGAACTCACGACCTTGCGCTTACCAGGCAGGCGCTTTTGCAGCTGAGCTAAATCCCCAGCCCCAACCACTGGTGGATTAATTTCCTGTACAACTTATCTGGAAATATTAGTTTAAGGAATATTCGTTCTTTGACCATCAAGAAAGGATGGTGTCTTTGCAGATAACTACTTCCACATTTGTAAAGGGCATGATGGACTCATTTCTGAGAGGCATGAAAGTGTTTATTTAAATCAGGGACTTGGTATATTTTAATCTCTCTCACAATAAAACAAATGTCACATTCACCTGAATTAAATGAGAATGAGTAATTGAAATGATGAGAAGCTGGTGTCACAAGGGGAAATAGATCTCTTCATATAGAACATTCCTCTAAGATTAGGGGTTTTTGATTCTATAGTGTAGGTCATTTCAAAATCATAATAAATGTATGGAACAGTGAAAGACTTTATCATCTCAGTTGTTAAGCTTCTGATTAGTATCTAGACAGACTCAGATGCTGTTACTCATTCCTGCTTTTTGTGCCAGCATTTCTTGAAATAGGAATGCTGGTGGTAAGGGAGACGAGCTAACCAAAATGTACCTCAACTCACCCTATCCAACTTATTTCCTAACAAGATTCATGGAACTGATTGTACTATCAGGATATTCATTTTTATTTGTCTTTCAAGATAACATCAAAATAAAAATCAGGTATGTATGTGTTTAGACTTTGCATAGGTTTTTTAAAAAAGCTATCCTACTATAAATAATGGTAGAACTACATGGGGAGAAATTCTTGGGATAAAAAGTATTCCTAGTATCCAATTCATTGAATTTCTCTGTACACCATTAAGGGATACTCAAATGCATTTAGATAGTGAATACCATCTTCCTAAATTAATGAGGAT